GGGGTTGAGTGTGAATAAACCTCACCATAGACAGACTTTCTGAGACTCAATAATGCAAGATAAGCCTTGGTACAAAGTCTGGGCTGTCACAATAATTTTATAAAGTACTCCTTCTAGAATACTTCACAAATATGAGATCAAACAGTATAAAATTCTAGACAAAGAACAGATTCTACCTTCAAACCCAAAATTCTCTCCCTCAATATTCCTTTTCCCTTCTTTTCTTCCTTCTAACCCCATATCCTCAAGGAAGCCAATAACGGCTTCACCTCTCCTTCTATCTTCCAAGACTATCTCAGATTCACCTGTCATGTCTTCTGACTACACTGCTTTTATGTACCCTGTGGGCTTAGTACAACTTAGTTTTTAGATGAGTCAGGTTTTTTTTCCAATTTATATCTTATCCCATGCTAACTGGCTGATAATATTTACTGGATGAATGTTATGACTTGTGTCTAGTTGTCCCCCCTCCAAAGCCTCATGCAGTCACTGGGGCAGGAAGCTTCTAGAGTCTGTAATAAATTCATGATCCAATGCTAGGCTTATGGGTGTGTTACACCCTATGTGGAGTGGATAGCCTGAATACGATGTAAGCAATGGAGAGAGGCTTATCTCTCACTGCTCCTCCCTTTTGGCTCTTGCCATTTTCCAGGGCACCCGAACTGCTGCCCTTCGCCAAGTGCCACTCTGCCTTGAAGCCAGCTGATTATGCACTGAAACCTCCACAAACTGTGAGCTAAGTTAAATAAACCTTTGCTTCCTTAATTTTTGGTGTCAGATATTTTGTTCTAGCAACAAGAAAAAAGTAACTGAGACAGTGAATAAATCTCTGGATCCACAAATACAAACTTTCACATTCCAAGTTGACTTTAAATGATAAGGCAAAGAATATGAAAGGGCTCATGTGCTACAACAAGATGATACTGCCTTTTCAAAAGACAGGCTGGGCACAGAAGCACACATCTGCAATGCCAGCACACTGGGAGGCTGAGGTGGGGCATCACAAGTCTGAGAACAGCCCAGATAACTTGGCAAGACCCCATCTCTTTTTTTTTTTTTTTTTTAAGACCCCATCTCAAAAAAAATTTTAAAAAAAGGTTGGGGATAAAAAGGTTCTGTACTTTCTGGGCTGAATCCCCAGTAATGAGAAAAAAACTCACATGAACAAATGAGTATATTTCTTATACACATTTTGCTACAATATTTATTTTTATTTTTTAAATATTTTTGGCGGAACTGGGGATTGAACTCATGCCCTTGTGCTCTACTGAGCCATCTCCCCAGTCCCTCGTTACAATATTTTTAATAAAAAAAGTACTCTTGTAGCCTTGGTCCCTAACCTTTTACTTATAAGGACAACAACAAAAATACTGTGAATTTCCATAGTATGGTTATTTGCTTTTCACTCACTGATAGGGAAATTACTACCATCAACTCAGTAGAATTTATATTTTAATTAACCCAGAAAGCAGGTAAA